CAGCAGCAGCAACAGGCGCCAAGCAGCAGACCGCCACCTCAGCAGCAAATGCTCCTGGGCCTCCGTTGCTGCCGTCTTCTTGCTGATCCCTCTCCACCTCGTCCTGCTGCTGCTGCTGCTGCTGTTCCTGCTGCTGCTGCTGAATGCCTGCCATAGTGTGCAGCACCGTGCAGATAGAGCTCAGCGCCGGCCGCTGCAGCAGCAGGAAGGGGTTGCTGTTGCAGCAGCTACAAAGGAACTCTAGCAGCAGCTGGCGCAGCAGCAGCAGCGGCTCGTGCTGCTGCTGCTGCTGGGTCATTATGAAGTCCGCTGCTGCAGAGCAGCAACGGAGAGCAGCAGCAAACGTCGCAGCATCTAACAGCTGCTCCTGATGCTCAGCAAGGGCCCTGCAGCGCTCCTGCAGCAGCTGCATGACTTGCTGCAGCTGCTGCTTCTCCTTGGTAGAGAGGCTGCTACTGTCGTTGTTGCTGCTGTTGCTGCTGTTATGCAGCAACGCCCGAGTTCTAAGTGCTGCGAATTGGCTGCTGCAGCAAACGAAGAGCTGCGCAGTGACGCGCCGGCAGCGGCCCGCAGCTTCCTCATCTGCTGCTGCTGCTGCTGCTGCTGCTGCTTGCACCCGCTGTAAAGCATCAAACATGTGCTGCTGGAGCTGCAGCAGCGTTGCATAACTCTCCTGCTGCAGTAAGGTGAGGCGCAGCTGCTGCTGCTGCAGCAGCTCTCCAAGTACATCAGACAAAATAACATCGGCCCCGCTGCAGCAGCTGCTGCTCCCACGGCTGCTGCTGCTGCAGCTATCTCTCGATTCCTTCTGCGTCTCTGCAGCAGCCAGTCGTTTGCTGCTGCGGCGGGGGGTGGTTGCTGCTGCTGCTGCTGCAGTGCCTGCTGTGGCCACCCCGATTTCATCAGCAAGCTGCTGCAGCTGCTGCGGCGGCAGGGAAGCTGCTTCTGCTGCCGCAGCAACAGCTTTGCTGCGCAGCACTGCAGCAAGGCCTGGGCACTTTGCTGCTGCTGCAGACAGCTGCACAACTAGCAGCAACCGATGCTTCTCCATGAACCGCAGCTGCTGCTGCTGCAGCAGCAGCAGCATCTCGCCAACGGCTTCCAGCACAGGCGCGGGGAGCTCCGGCACCTTAGCATCCACCTCTTCTGCTGCTGCTGCTGCTGCTGCTGTGTGCTGCTGCTCCACAGCAGCAGCAATAGCGGCAGCCAGGGAATCCATTAGATTTCCGCAGAGGCCTGCTGCTAGCTGCTGCTGCTGTTGCTGTTGTGCTGCTCCTGATTCAGTTGCAGCAAGCAGGTGCAGCTGCTGCCACGTGAGCTGCAGCAGCGCGTAGTCCTTCGGATCTGCTGCTGGTGCAGCAGCAGCTGCTTTAGCTGCTGCTGCTAGTGCTGCTGCAGGTGCCCCGGTCTGCAAACCCGTTAAGCGGCCTCGCCCTCGCGTACGAGGCGTCCGCGGGCTGCTGCTGCTGCTGCTGCTGCTGCTGCTGAGCATGCGCAGCAGCATATCTGTAGCCAGCGGTAACAGCAGCTTCAGCAGCACCTCCGGCGCCCACAGGCGCTGCAGAGGCAGGAGGATCTGCTGCTGCTGCCGCGGTAGTAGCAGCAGCAGCAACACAAAGTACGCCGCCGCTGCACGAGAAGGCTGCTGCTGCTGCTGCTGCTGCTGCTGCTGCAGCTCCTGCAAAGGCTTCACTGGCAGCAGTGGCCAGCGCAGTACCTCAGCAGCAAATGCAGCAAAATTTCGCCGCGCATTAACGATAAGCTGCAGATACACCCCAGACACAAGCAGCAGCAACAACCCATTCAAACATCTGCAGCAGCATCACCCTTGCCTTTGCTGCTGCTGCAGCTGCTGGTGCAGCTTACCTCTTGCACGTCGTCGTTGCTGCTGCAGTCGAGGCACTCAGCAGACACCAAGCCAAGAGACAGCAGCAGTGGAAGGGTCTCTTGTGCTGCTGCTGCTGCTGCTGCTGCTGCATCCTTGCTGCTGCGGGTGTCAGCAGCAGCAGCAGCAGCAAGCTTCCTCAACTGCCGCAGCAGCCCAACTGCAGCAGCACGTACGGCCTCTACTGGAGACCCCAGCAGCGCAACGCACTGCGCAGCAAGGAAAGGCCCTGCTGTTGCTGCTGCTGCTGCTGCTGGCGTCTCTGGTGCTGCTGCTGCTTCTTTTGGTGCTTCTGCTGCAGCTGCAGACCCATTAAGAAGCTCCAGCTGCAACTCAACAGCAGCAACGCAGCTATCAATGAGAACAGCAGGCTGCCGCACCGGCACCGTGGCGTCCAGCAGCAAAGCATGCTGCTGCTGCTGCTGCTGCTGCTGCTGCAGTTCTTGCCGAGCCTCTTCCGTCGGTTGTTCGCCATCAACTTCCTCCAGCTGCTGCTGCTGCTGCTGCTGCTGCTGGTTGGTGCTGCTGAGGCATCTGTGTGCTTCTACTGCAGCAGCAGATAAGAAGGAGAGCAGCAGCAGCGGCTGCTGCCCGAAGCGCCCCACAATCAAAGACAGCGGATGAGAAAATACTTCTGCGTCCGCTAAACCCAGCAGCAGCAGCCCCCGTAGCGCTGCTAGCTGCTGCTGCTGTTGCTGCTGCTGTTGTTGCAGCTGCGCTGCTAGCTGCGACGCATCGCTCGGCAGCAAAGTTGAGACAAGAAAGCTGCAGAATGAAGACACAGCACCTAAGGCCAAGGCGCTCACGTGTTGCTGCTGCTGCTGCTGCTGGTGCTGCTGCTGCTGCTGTTCTGCAAGAAGGATGGCTTCGTATGTTCTGCCTGCGTGCAGCACGAGCAGCTGCGGCGGCGTAGAATTGGGCAGCAGCGAGCTGTTGACAGCAGCAGCTGCTGCTGCTGCCTCAGCAGCAACTGCGGCTGCTGTCTTCCCTGCTGCAGCCGCCACAACAACAGCCCCCGCAGCA